ACAAAAATATTTTTGTTGATTTAATTTGCAGGATCACTACTATCTGAACAATTAAACTCTGTACACATTTGGTTTTCCTGGGTTGTGATTGTCTCTGCCCACTACCTAGACTGACAGGTCAGATTTGATTGATAGATCAGAGTTGCATTTTCCATTTACTCTTTCATGCTTAAACATTTTCGGTTGAAATTTCTCCCTGTTCATAACTTTTACCACAACTTTTAAACCAAAATTTAGGAAGAAAAGATCTCTGGCCAATAAGGTTAGGTTAGGCCCTGCTTCATTTAACCTCAGCAAACATATATCAGACCGCAAGAATCAGGCATACTAATACACAATCAACAATGAGGAGAGATGAAGATAAATGCCCCTTCAGTTCCCAAGATCCATTATAGTATCTTTCGGTCCTATTTTTAAAATGGTCCTGTGATGAGCCTGCTCTCTGCCATAGCAGCTTGCTGACTGCTCACATATTTCAGTTGTTTACCCACTGTAATCGAAAGACATATCCCTGCAATTATGTGGACACCTAAAGAAGTTCTGTACTAACTATTCAATTATTCTTGTAGGGCATAGGATACAGGAAAGGCAGCAAATACCAAGTTGGCAAGAAGGGGGTAGTCTTAATAGTTTGGGATGACACATCAGACAATTCTGAGAAGATTCTTGATCATGGAGGTATTGGCGGGCAGTCAAAGGTGCTAAAATGGATTTAGTCTAGTGGCTGCTGTACACAGCCTGCTGATGTCAGTCCAGAAAAAGAGTTGCTAGTGATCTTAAAATGGATCAGGCATTTTTTCATACTACAGTCGGCTTGTCTACTCCTGAATGGGGAGACATATACAGAGTGTTTGAGGATGAGATCTAGAGGAAGACTAAAGAAGAAAAGCATCATGGGACCTAACATTCCAAAGTATGTTATGGAGGGCGGTGCAAGAAGGTAAGTGTGATCTGTACCCAGCAGGAATCTCTGGTCTGCCAGTAATGATGCAGCTTCTATGCATAAATAATAGCCTAATACTTCTTTTTCTGGAATCTTCCAATGGGATTCTCTGATAACTTCTGCTTGAATATACAACTGGGTGTTGAGCTCAGTCAGCTCCTATTCAAGTTAGGACCACACCAATGTGTTTTAATCAATCTGTTTTAAAATGAATAGCTTAGAGAAAGCAAGTATAGCACTAGACAGCTGATGGTGGCCGTTAAATGGTCAAAGGTTGCTTGACATTCAATCCCTCCACTTTGCCTGGTTGGAATTTGCACTTTCAATGCTGTCAACTGTTGAAGCTATTCTACTGTGGTGGGGGTACAAATTTATGTATAGGCACCTGTCTCCCTACATCTGCCCAGCCAATTAAATTCTACAGGGTTGGTGCACTCCAGATTCCTTCAATGCCATCCATCAGGATCCTGGAAGCGTGTCTGTGTAGCAATGCCTGCCCTCTGGAATGAGGTTCCCCTTGAGATTCGAACAGCCCACATCTAACTGGTGTTTCGAAGGGCCCCGAAGACCTGGCTTTTTTCCCAAGTTTTTGGTGAAGACGACTGAAGCCCCCTTTCTTTTTCTTTGTTCCCATCTGGATTTGCTGTCTCTACCATCCTTGTTCCTTTTGTGGTGTTTTTGTCTTGTTTCCATGTTTTTAAAAACTTACAAACAGCCCAGAGTTATTGGGATATAAATTTAATAAATTACTATTGTTGTAACCCCACATAGTCTCTTTGTCTTAAGGAATGGGCTTTTCTATAACAGCATTCAACTTGGCTACTAAGATGGAAATGGTACCTCACCCCACTTTGTGGCATAAATTACATGACCTGATTAAGGTCAATTTGACATTTCTTGGCTTTAATCATCATTCCAGACTTAGATGCGTTGCATGACTTATGTCGCTTTTGTTCCTCCCAGTTATCGGAGAAGATGGCTACACCTTCAAGGTGCACAACTGTGAAGCCGCCTGGACTTCTGAGAAATTGACCAGCTTTTGAAAGTTGGCAGCGTCATTCCTCAACCTTAAGGAACTAAATGGGAGTTGAAAGCCAAAAGAAGGCAGGAGATAAAGTAACAATTGATATTTGCAGAGTTTAACACAACAAGCAAAGGGTTAACAAAGACATATACCTCTCAGTTCATTCTCATAAAATAAATCCGTAACTCCTAATCCCATGAGTAGCTTTCATTAGTTCCCAGTTTGTTGTATTCTTCCTGTTATCTCCAACACTCCCCAAGTTTGGGCACGGCTTACCAGGCAAGAGATGCTCCTGCTCCTCCCATGAAAGACTGGCAAAGAACAAAAACAAAATGGGGGTGGTCTCTTCCATTTTTACATGCCCATCTAAGAAGGAACCTCCTCACTTCTGAATGAAATTTTTGTCATTTGAGTTTTCAGAGTCTGATTGTCTCTGTCCACTACCTAGACTGAGAGATCAGGTTTGAGATCAGATTTAAGTTGTCTTTTAACTTGTCTCTGAACCTTTTGGGATGAGATTTCTTTCCATTCACTACAAATGTAGAAGTGTTTCAGTACATATTCACATGTATTCATAGAAGCAGACAACAAGTATTTCTAGTAGCCAGAATGAAGTGAAAATTCACCTGAAACATTAGATGTCACCTATTCAATAAGCTGTAAACCCTTTTTAAAAAAAAAATTCAAACTTTATTTCTTACAAAAATTACTGTAATAATTTTTCTTACAAGCCCAACTTTTCATAGTACAAGTTTACTATTCTAAAAAACAAAAAGTATGATTGTTTTCCATTTTACTTTTCCAGCTATGAGAACAATGATTTTTGTATCTAGTACTATCAATAGGATAGGAGTAATTCCAATAAAGGCGTATTTTAAATTGCTTTTTTGAAATACTGCATTAATGGAAATCAAACTTCAAAAAAAATAACAAATCCATTTTGTAGCATCAACAATTATTTTCTATAAACTTTCAGTAATTTGAATTGTCAAATACACCAACACCATCCTGTTTCAATAAGGACAAAATATACATATATCCAAAGATGTACATATGTACATCTACATGCAAATCTATTGGTGTCTATTAAACCTATATGTATAGTTTTCAGACTGGCAGACTGCATATAATTTTCATTATTGGATTATCAGACCACAGGCTTACCTGAGTGTGGCTGGCATTTGTAATTCATTCAGGGACAGATAATACTGATTCAGTCTTTCTCTGTTTCATTAGCCACAGATGATCATATTTTCTTGAGAGTCAAATGGGCACCTGAGCTTGAAAAATTAACTTTTCAAGAGCGAAATCCATCTGTCAAACTCCTGACTGATGGTTTCCATAACAAATATTTCCTTCCAACAACAATTAATTCCATAATGTAGGCTTACAACCTGAAAACTCCAGCACTGAGCTACCAGTATTGAAAGGAGGAGAGTCTTATCCTGTGATTCAGTACATATAGCTTTGTTTCTGATAGGGGAAATGTAAAGTTTTCCAACACAAAGGTAGCTCTAGTCTGCTATTTTTCTTGATCATCTAAAATCCATACACGTTGGCATTGTCATGGTTCTTAAAAAGGCTTTCTCCTGAGTAAAAATATGTTAAGGACTGTGGCCTTAAGCACTGTAACTGAGGGGGTGTTCCTTAGTTGCTACCTCTAGACTGTCCATTATTCTATCAATTGCCCACAAAAAACAGAACCCCTCCTCCTCAAAATAGAAATACTTTTGCACAAAACACCCTGAACCTTTTCATAAGGAATCTAACAGGCCTGCTCTCAGAAACATTTCACCAAGCCAGCCTAGAAGTAATCAGCAATTTCCATTTTCTAAAAAAAATCATGATGTAACTTCTATTTTATAAAAACACTTGCACCAAGACATGCAAAATACTCTGCACTCAAAATAGCTATTTCTCAAGGGTGCTAACCATGAAACAAAAGGGCCTGTTTTCCAAACAAGGAGCCCTGGGTGTTGACAGCTTTTATCTACCTTTTCTTTCATTCTTCCAGGTCATAATGAAGGCAGGAGTCCATAAAGCAGGGGGCACCGGCTCTCTCCCTGCAACTGTTGTCCAGAGCTATTTGAGCAGGAGAGGGCATCAGTGCAAGGGAGGTTGGTTAATGGGCAAGCAGATAGATGAGAACCATTTTGGACATAAGGAAGATTGGGGCCTCCTGGGTAAGCAAGATGAATTTGAACAATTCTGTTATGGAGAAGTTAAAGTTTCCATGCTTTTGCTGCTGTTCTTCCATGAACTGCTGACCTGAGCCCCCTGATGGTGCTTCTTCACTGGGCTCCATTCTATGGCTATTTCTGCAAGCAGCAAGCTTGCCGAGAGCATGCTGAACTACTGTTTCCGTTATCGGTTATAGGGTTTTTAAAAACATTTAACAATTTTAAGAGTTACCCCTTGGCAATTTTTTGTGTGGGAGGTAGCTCTCACGATGGACTGTCACCACACTTTCTTTGGTGGTTCTAGGACCAAAAAAATGAGACTAATTTGAATTGCCATTGTTCCCTATAGGAAAAAGACTCACAGTATGTGAAGTTTTGTTCCATCAGAGCACAATCTATTTGAAATGTCCTATTGTAACTGCAAATAAGGATAACTGCAAACCATCTGGGTCAGAGGCTGCCTGAGTAACTGGGGAGTATAGAAAAAAATTAACTAATGAGGGGTATAAAAAGGTGAATTTCTAAAATAAAAAGTTGAGAATCACCTCATATTGGAAGGAACACAACAAAGTTCAACAGGAGGAAACTAAGTAGTTTTAGCATGGAGTAAATGGATCTATTTACAGTTAGAAGTTTACTTTATGTACCTATCCAGTGACTGTAATTGCTTTGTCATTTTTTGCACTCAATTGCATTTTTTGTTTCAATTGTCCTTATTAGTTATCTGTAATACTAGTTTTTATAAGCCAGAGCTGGCTTTGCTGGGGGAGGGGGTACCTCTACTGGTCTGTATTTCATCTTCTAACCAGTCATTATTTTTTGTGTGTCCTGTATATTTTAATTAAGCTGGCTATTTTCTGAGACTGTATCCATTTGAGATTTGTTTCTGGCCACATGTGTATTAAAAGGCTCTGCACATAACAATTTTTAGCATTTGCCAATGCCTTTGAAGAAAAGAAAGAATTGCCCTTTCGTTCCTTCATCAAGATTCCTGATGGAATATGGGAAGCTGTCTCTTGTCCCTCACTGAAGTGGTGCGATGACTGTGAACTAATGCCTCAACAAGAGCTTCCCTGACAAGAGAAACCCAAGGCTGTAACAGGCATTTTGCAAATGGGGCTTATTTTAATTTCAAAGCATTTTGTTTCATTTTGCACATAACCCATTCTGCACTGATTTGTCTGAAATTCACTATATGTCATCTCCTTTTATGGTCTTACTATTTCTGAAGATTTCATCTCGGCCTGTCAAACAAAAATGTTCTAGCCATCTTTTGACTTCAAATGAAGAAGGGAAATAGAAACAGGCCCTAAATCCAATCTGCAGTGGTGTGGGGCTTCAAATCACCCAAGGTGCGTATGATGTTTTCCCAAGTATCAGCTGGGGACTGAAGCTAATCTTCTTCTCTGTGTGCACCCCTACTAAATCCAACAATATTCAATGGGGCTTCTGTTATAATGTATTTAGGACTGCAGTTTCAAGCTATATCCTTTACTCATGTAATGGGATTTTATTTTTTGAGTAGACATATGACATTAAGTTACCACAACAATAATAAAGGATTAGCAATGATACCAGAATTCAACTGGTTTCAGTGGAATGAAATTTGATTTTAACCTAGGTCATTAGTCAAATCTGCATGGCAGAAAGGGAAAAGCATAAATGGAACAATTAAAATGTGCCATAAAGGAATATAAATAAGTGATACGGTATAATGTTCCAATTTCTGTTTTCTTAGAAAGCAAGAGTATCTCACTGTTCTATGGGAATATTACAATAAATGTGCAAAGAAACTAATTTATTGCAATCATATATCAAAAAAACCCTCCTGCACATCATGATCAAACCCTTTTATCAATGTGACACTGACTGTATTTGGCAACACTTGTCTATGAATGGCATTCCATTAGGAAGAGTTTTATTAACACTACCAAGTTCCCCTGTGAATGGAAAATTCAGCCCAAGTTAAACATTTTTAAATTCCATTAATATTTGAAGGGAACAGACGTCTGCAATCTTTTACCTGCTTAACCTGGTAGTAACAGGGGGACTCCTTTCTGAGGGCACAGGTGGCCCTGCACTCTTAAAACATCTGCTCTGTGCTCTCCAGTTGGGAAAGGATTACACCTGGACAAGCCAACCTAAGCGCTTTTGAGTATCATTTATTTTAGTGACAAAAATTGAAATAGTTCAACTTTCAAAATAAAATGAATGAGACTCAAGCACTTCTATGTCTAGCTGTATCATCTGTAAATATAAAGCTAAAGAGTTGTTTACACTAAGAGCAACAAATTAATTGATTCCACATAGTTTATAACAACAACAACAACAAAAACCCAAGATAACCTCATATAGTTTCTCTCACATTGTAAAGTCCTTGAGAGCAAAATGCTGTGCTAGTGCAACTGATCCCAGAGGAGGTGTATGAAGTAACAATACATCCCATCAATTGTTCACTGGAATGCCTGGTAGTTAAACAGAACAATATTTGAACACACTGTTCATGTCTTTTATCACTAGACTTTGCTCAAGTAATCTAAGGTGCATTTCCTAAAGTAATTTAAGTTGCAAAGAGGGAAAGACATCACTTCTTAGAAATAAACACTGTAGAATATTCTAGGCAGATACGGTTTTCAGACTCCAGTTGAGTGGAGATGCATCCTTCCCCATAAAACATGTTACAGTGGTACTAAGCAAGCTGACCACATGAGCCAGGACCTCTTTGGCTCAGCACACCCGGGCTCCTGCTGCTATGTACTGCGGAATGTGGTCATGTCCTTTGGTTCGCTACTTGGGACACACCAGTCATCCGCTTCATGGTTGGCCGTGTAATGCTTCCAAGCCGATTTGTTATATACAGGCAATTTTTCAATAGACTCAGTTGATAAAGCCTGCAGCAAGAGAGAGGAGGACTGGGTTAATCCCTTGCCATTTTAAACAGAAAGGAATTTGCCAGCACAACTGGTCCCTGACATACCTTTATAAAGATAACAGCATCTGTACCGTAACCCTCTAGAGAATAGAGCTTCAGATCTCCTTGGAAGTACTGAGCATAGAGACGTGATATAGGTAGACCATAACCAAATCCAGCCTAAGCCAAAAAAAAAAAAATTACTGAATTATTGGAATGTCTGGAGCAGATCTATGCTCAAAGGGCATATAAAGAGAAAAAAACACTACTTTTACCAAATGTCATTGTGCCTTTTCCACATACAACAAACCAACACAAAACATAGGTTTATAATCATAGAAGTGATCTGTGAGCTCCATCCTAGAACACTGCATATTATGCATAACTAGATCACTCAGTTAATTGGTTTATTTGCCCAATTAGCTCAGGAATAAGTTAAAATTACTATGATTTTGAATAGTTGGCCAACACTTTAGGACACAGATTGAGGAAAGGGAAATGACACTGGAGAGAACTCTTTGTCTTCTCTCTCCTCCCAGCTCCCAAGCTTCAGGTGCTGTAAGGACAATACAAGTCTTGAGGGCTACCCAGCTCTCCCTCTATAGCCCAGGCAAAATCAGCAGGGATAAAACTGACAAGTGCTTGTCAGTCTCTCTTCTCTTGGTAGGAAACCAGCCAGGATCCAAACTGCTAGGCTACTGAGAATGTTTTACTTCTTTTCCCCTTTAGGATGGATAGGCACGTGTGGGGTTTTTATTGCTACAGGATCTGCAACAATTTGAGGCAAGGTCTTTATCTTTGTTCTCAACAGTTCTGAGTGAGCAAAAGCAACTGCAATCACAGACCACCTTCAAACTATTTATGGGGGGTTGAGGAGGGGTGGTGAAAAAATAGTTTATTTCTATATACAGTACAGAATGTCCCAGCATTCGTTAATTCATCATGCTTTAACTTCCAGATCTAGTGGAAGCGTACGTAAAAATAAAAACTATTAGCAAAATAAGGAGAACTTGAGCTTTCACAACTGATAATGTAAGTATTATACAGGGTACAAACCAGAGGTGTTGCTCGTGATGTCTCAACACGGGGACGCGGTGCAGTTGAATACATATAGTTAAACAATCGGTCTATTTTTCTCAAAGGAACACCACCACCACGATCGCACATCTAGAACGTGAGGGAAAAATATTGTACAGTATTGAGTTCCTATGTGTGTGTCTGGTGTGTTTCAGTATCTACATACACTGGGTCATTATTAAGAATATATTCCACAAACAACAACACACAAATCACAATCATACAACCAGTCCCTGATCTAGTTAACAGACCAACAGACCCGTCTCATTTACTTAAACAGTAGCCTGCACAGATGAAAGCTTATTTAAATTATGTTTTATTTTAATATTCAATAATATGATAAAACCGTGATATAAAATAGTAAATGAACTGAAGCTTAAAAAAATAATTTCCAAAATTCAACCAAAACTCATCAGAGCATGATACAAATAAAGCATGCATGACTGTGACCAGGTTGGTCCTATTCCAAAAAGGTGCAGCTGGTGAAAAACGTTTCTGTCCATAGAGTCTGTTTGAGTACTTAGAAGCAATCCTCAGTCTAGGAGCCCCCACATTCTCTTTCTCTCTCATGATTATTTGTGTATCACCTATTCTTGCAATTCTGGGCAGAATACAATAAGTACAACAAAAACACAAACAATAAAGCATCCATAAAACATACAGAAAACTAATAGGCAGTTTAAAAAACATCAAACACTAGAAATAAAACTATTCAGTCATTTGATCACATCAGGGTATAAGTCCAATAAAGAAACGAAGCAGTATCTCTGCAACGGATCTCTGCAAATTGCTTTGCTATTAATTTGCCAGACTTAAGAAACAGAAAATGTAAGACTGAAGAAAGGCTTTACCTTCACAGTTAAATCTTCAGTGCCTAAGGTGACTTGGACCTGAACTGGAGGGTAAATTCCTCGATCTGCATGATGTTCCATGGTAGCCCTCATTGCATTCTAAGTTTTCAAAACATTAAATTTACAGTCAATGTATATACATTTTTGCTTACTATGCAAAGAAAACATTTTCTGTAAATGCATTTGACCCATTTTTAAAATATGAGGGAAGCAATTTTTTTTGGCAGTGCAGGCATGCTGCCTTCTCATAATAGTGTGGCCTTCCTGCCCTGACATAGGATTATCCATTCACATGCTTTCCTCCAAGTTCCCAAATGCACAGGCTGTCCCACCCTCAGTGGAGATCTGGAAGGGTGTGGAGAGACACCCCTAGCTCTAATATGCAGGGAAAGTGTCTCACATTATCAGAAATGGCCAGCAAAGTGGCAATGCTCCTGAAGGAGGGTCAGACAGAAACTTCAGCAGAAAATCTAAAGAGATATTTTATGAATGCAGAGATTATATATTGAGTGGGATTTACAGTCACTTGCCTTAAAAGCCCCCCCCCCCTTACTTCTTAACAGATCAAGAGGGAGAGATTATTATATTTGGTTGTTTAGATAGCCTGAGTAAGGGAAACAGGAAAAGAAGACATACAACATAACAGTGTCTTCTACAAACCTTGAAAAGTTCAAAAACCATGTAGTAGAGATGTGATGGCACATACACTACTTGCATAGGCTGCCCTGGTGATTTTACTGCAAAACAAGAGGAGTGAAAAGGATCAGTTATATGCCAACAGCCACTGTTAATCTTGGTAAAAATCTCAGCAAGGGGTTGAAAGATTACTAAGATCCAATTACTTCAGTCCTGCCTAAGAGCTCATATGAGCCTGTAGGGTTATGGGGTCCCTCGCCTAATTGCTACTCTCACTCACAAGACACTGCAAACTCATTTTTAAATTCCCTTACATTTAAGAGCTGTCTGTCTTGCAGTTGCGGAGGTCTGTTATTTGAGAGATAAAAGTCAAACGGGCAAGTGGAATTAATGGCCACTTCATTGGGATCCCGATATAATTTACTCTATGTCTCATAAATGTGTGCATATACTCATACATATACACTTACCATACCACTTACTTTCAAAACCTAGGTTTGAAAGTTTCTGTTCCCAACAGCAGATATTTAAAGTACATTTTTAAAAAGAATGTCTGTTTAATATACTCATAAAGCTATCACATGTCAGAACAAAATTAATTCCAGACATCACAATTTGTCGGTCTCTTTCTTATTCTTCATTTGTCTCCTTAGACCCAGTGACTGAAGCAGCACGCTCATCTCTTAATGATTATGTTTAGCAATCAGTATTTGAGAAATCTTTCAAGGTATAGCAGATTATGAGGTAGCTGTGCATATATATGGAGAGAGAGAGGGTGTGTGCTGAATTTATACACAGTGTTAAAACTAACCCAGAGTAAGTAGGATTAAACATCATTACACAACTCAATAGTAATTACTAGAAAAAGATAATAGTAATTACTAGAGCAAGATAATTTTTATGTTTTCTGTCTTTTCAAATACGAAGTATTGTTTAAATGAGATGAAAGCTACAAATGAGGTAATTATGCACATGAAGCTACTCCATGCAGCTCTTGCCTCATTCACATGTGTTTGAACACAAACCACACTGTTGGAAGACCTGAAGGATTGGATAAGAGTCAACACTGACTCGATAGCAGATAATCAATCAAATACAAACTAGCAACTCATCAGGTTATCCACTGACCCTTCACATTAATACTGCAATCATACTTAATTTATGCATTTCAATTAGTTTTTAATCTACCTTTCTGTATAAAATGACTAATACAATCAAACATACCAACTAGGCAATAGAAATAGTTAATACACTTAAAATGGTACTTACAAAGACAGGAATAACAACTCAAAAGCCATCAGTAAGCAAACAATATTCTCAGCAAAAAATAATAGGCAACTACTATTATTAAATGTAGAACCTCGGAGGGTCACTTAAATACTCAGGCAAATTCATACTATAGATACTTAATCCATCCTTAATCCATCCTGGATTATGATATGTTTACATTGGCCCTTACTTATAGAACTACAATACCTGCTTATAGTCATAATCACTGAAAGCTCTTGCAGTTTGTTCATGAGTCAAAAGTCCTCCATATGATGTATAAGATGTCCAAATATAATGGAGAAGGAATAACTCTGAGGAACAGGAGCCCCAACCAAGACCACGGACAGATAAAATAAATCTGAGCCCAAGCCAGAACTGTAACCGGAGAAAGCGTCTCAAACAAGATCCTCCCTAGTTCTCACAAAGATAAAGGGAGGGAGGAGGGAAGCGCATTCAGACTTGCAAGATTCTATTAGTATACCCTTATGATAAAAGTAGTATTATCATGCATGACTATGGCTTCTTAGGTTGGTCTACCCTGAAGGGCTGATACTAAATTATCTCCTACGGGATTGTCCAATTAAAGAAAAACCCTAATGTATTTGCATTAAACTGTACTACTTATACATCAAGTTATACAGGTTCATAATGTATTTTGAGTAAAAGTTAGCCAAAAAATGTCAAAGACTAGAGAATAAAAACAAATGAAAGATTTCTTGGAACTTACGGCACCATTTGCGGTAACGTGACAGAATATATCATGTGATTAGAGAAACTACGCACCAGGTTTAGCTGGATTGATCATGAAGGCTACTTCCCAAGTTCCAGATAAACATACCTCCCACACATCTGCAACACGTGTTATTTTACACTGAATTCCAGCACAACACACTGGCACATACTTGCTTCACTGTGAAAACATGACACAGATAATTGCACTTGGCTTCCTAAAGCCAATTCCTGTAGTGAAATGAGTATGTGCAAACCTCTTTTGTTATAGGGTGTACTCTGAACACATGCTAAACATTCTCCATCTTTAACCTGTCAAATGATCCTAGCATTTCTCATGACACAGAGCCAGGCAGAGTATTTTGCAGCATGAGCAGGCCAGTTCTGCAACCAACTAACACTAGGCACCGTTACAGAAATATCCTAAAGTAAATCCCGTGCAAAAAAGAGGGGCATGGTAAAACTTGCTAGGAATTGGTTAAGAACATGCAACTTCCATGAATAAGCCAACCCCCCCCCTTTCCATGCTTACCATTCTGCTCCTCAAGTACAAGTTCTGGAGAACTCATGTAATATAAGTCACAGAGGCTCTTTGCATTTTCATAACCATCTGAAAACAGCAATACAATTTTCCTTAAAAGATGCCAAGACACACACACACACACACACACACACACACACACACACACACGCATACCCAGCCAGCCAGCCAGAATTTATTCAATTAGCTGGCAACAGTTCTTAAAACAGTTCTGAGAGGAAACAGTCATGCACATTCCATCTTTTACTGTTCAGGAATAGCATTCTATGAATAGCAGCTCACATTTCTCTTGCATACTTCTGGCTAACTTCAATTACCACTTTAACAAGAATAGTATCTCTGCTTGGATTCTCTGCACAAATAGGAGAGCATTTATCTATCCCCTGTAGTCTAATTAATATCTAAAAATATGTGGAAGATGCCTGGTACAAATCTCAGATGCCAAACTTTCCAGGAGTCAGAAGATGGGATGCCACTGACGACAATGGCTTTACTTCCTATTCAGCTCCCCTTCAGTCCCATAATGAACAAAGCAAAATTATACAAACAGCAGCATTGTAAGTACATGTAGGATGTGTAGCCATAGGGACAAGAATACAATTGGGGTGATTCAGCAGGCTGATGGAGGAGGGATAGAGTGCACTATCCTGATTCTGCATCCAGGATCAAAATCAGTTTTGTTAGAGGAGGGAATTCCCCATCTCCACGCCCTGAGGAATTCCCATGCCACACTCTGACCTTCCTCTACCAGGCATCCCAGGCTAATTGTTCTTTTTGGAAGGCTAGCAACTGGGGAAACATACATGGCTTCAGCCTTAAATATTGCCAAATAATTGCATGATCTTATGCGTGTTTGCTCAGAAGTCTTTTCCACTGAGCTCACTAGTTTTCAACATATGGTATGGTTTGTAACCTGCCTCGATCTTCAAAATGCAACTTAAAATAAAAATTACAGTATTAAATTAATAACATATTACATTACATTAATGGCCATATGAATACTATATAAAAGTCCCCCAATACTGGGTCATTACTACAAAATTTGGATCAAACTCTATAGTTTTTTTTTTTTACCTACAAAATGAACCTATCTACACTATTATTCTTTAATAGTGAACACCATGTCTCAGAACAGAAACTTCCCGTGCCTGACAGAATGAGCTTGGACACAGTCAACAGCCCATGTACCAGAAAGACTGTTTCTTGCCACGTACATTTTCTCACCATATCTGTTTGAATGTACCTTTTATAACTTCAACCACATTGCATTTAGGGTCAATACTTCCAATGTGTTTGGGATGTGCTGGGTTAACTTCAACTTTTCCTCCAAACAACAAAGCTGCAAACAACAACAAAAAATGTATCGTAAGTAATTTCACAACATAGAGGCCATGAACAGCATCTCTTATATCTAGGGAGGTGATGATGATTGAGCAAAAACAATGGGCAAGGTTTTACCACTTCATAACAAGGCCAACACTAGGAAAAGCACTATATGTACAGAAGAGTCCTTTTTATTCTTAAAGAGAACTATTCTCACTTGTTTTATATTAGAGACTGGCATCCTGTGACCCTTTCTCTATTGCCCACAGACTTTCCTCTCTGACCTGGAAGAACTAATGACCGCTTCCTATCATTTTGAGTCAGAGAACACAGAAAACTGTAGTTTAGTTTCCCCTCAAAGACTTAAAAGGAAAAAATAGGAAATCCCAGCTCTCTTCACATGCACAATATGGCCTGCGGTCTCAGCACCATCAACATGCCCACTGTGAGCCTTGGCTCCCCAAAATCTAATTGAAGTCCTCCACTTCTAAAAGTTTTCTTACCCTGCTCCAAAAAAAAAAATTCCCCCCAAATTAATAGAAGTACTTACTGTGCTGATTAAGCAACATTCGGATTGAAATCCGACTCATGAAGAAGCGGTCCAAAAAATACTGCACGTTCTGACTGGTCACTGGATCAACCCCATAGTTATCCTTGTATTCTATCACGCCCTGAGCCATGGTAGGAATGACGTCGTTGTGACGGTTCCGGATCGTTATCACAGTATCTGTAAAACTGAAATCGAGTGCAGTATATTCCTATTAAAATACTAGCACACCAATCACTAGAAGGATGTCAAATTTTAACTAACCACTGCAAAAGCAGGAATCTAAAGAAAGCATCCTGCTACTCAACAAAAACTATGTTGTGCTTACACAGTACAAGAAAAGATTTTTTTTTAATGGATGGTAGGACTTCCAAACATAAGGTATCCCTAATAGCACAGTCACAATCATTTTCGGATCAAGGTCCATCATCTATGTTTATGTTATATCTTGCTTTGTTTCAGATATTTAAGAAATAATGGCTAGGATTTAGTGCATGGAATTCAGCTCACAGGATGTTTCCAATGACAGAAGGGGGTTGTTTTACCAATTTCTTCTTCCCTCAGTAGACCCCTATGACTCTCTTCTGCAGGTCTGGAGAAATGATAGGGGCAAGCTGCAGAGGTCATGGCATCTCCCCTTCCATCAGCAGGAATTTGAAAGCTAACAGAAAGAGCTTCTATTGTTTTCATCTGGACATAAAGTTCTTTGTTCCCAAAGCTACCAAATGTCAATAATTTGTAAATAAATACTGAAAGTACATTCCACCTTTAAATCAAGATTAAGAGGCAAAAAAATCACAGCTTTGTTTTCTTTGCAACTTTCTGAAGGTTTTCCAGGATAAAATTTTATTACATAAACAGCACTTGCATGATAGTAACTATACATATGGATCTTTTTGCCTGTAAAGAAGCAATTAAGAAGGCCAATCTAATATTGAAGCCAAACAGACTAAAACTGTTGTTGTTTTACATATACTCTAGTGTTTAGTGTAGTATGGTCTAGTTATTTCTGTTCCTCCTTTACCCACATTGAAATACTATTTAAAAATAGTTTATCACTTAAACTTCAGATCTTAACTTAGAGATTTAAAAATATTTCAGTGCTATCTCACAATTCTGTTTTTTAAAAAATATTAAATATTATAATTGCAATAATAAAAACCAATACAAACTAAAAGAAAGTGAATAGAAAAAATAAAAAGTGCAAAGGAAAAAACAGAGAAAAGAAAGTATATAGTAAAGAAAAAGAAAAGAAATACATAAAGAAGTGACTTCCAACCTTCATCACAACAAGCATAAACAATTTTAGTAACTCTTCACCTCCTCTTAATTTGCAACCAATGATATCTTCATCCCATATCTCTCTTACCTATAAACAAATCCATAAAGCATTGTCATTTCAATCCTGCTGTCAGCAAAAGTTCATTAAGGGTTGCCAGAAGTAACAACATATCTATTTTAACTTTGATCAAATAAACCAACTTTATATTCCTTCCTTTTACTTCTTTTACAATTTCAATCTTTAGTCCATTCAAGTAATGTCATAGAACTTGATTTCTTTTCATTTCTTTTTTACCCCTTTTCACAAGATTCATCCAAGCTTTAACAAACCTCTTTTGTAAATCCAATATAAAAGAATTATCTAGGCCACTCTCTTGGTTTATTATTTGTAATTCCCTTTTTATTTTTAAAGCATTAACCAATTTCTTTTGTATGTTCAATGAAACATATTTTTCCATGCCATTCTTGTAGCCTGTCATTTGTAGATCCACTTTCAGTGTCAACTGTCTCTGTCTTGTCAGATAAAACTTGTTCTTCTTCTGCCATTTCTTCCAAAACATCTTTCAGACACAGTCTATCCACAGAAGCAAACATTGCTATTGGCATTGTTGATATTAACTTCTGATTCCATTTTTCAAAAGTATCCTTCAGTATTTCTAATGTTATAATACTTTGCAGCATTCTGTAGCTATTGATCAGGTTTATGTATTCTTCTCCTTTAATTAAAATGTTTAGTTCCCTCTAGTGTGCAATTTTAAAAATTGTCTTAGAAAAAAGTCAGAACAAGCCAGCTTTCCCACAGAAAGGATTCTTTATAAGTCTTAATTAGCTTTTTGTTGTTTATTTCAATTTTGTTAAGTTCTTAAACTTGTAGTTAAAATTTTCTTTCATTAAGGATTGAAGGCAGACTCACCCAGTGTTTTCAGAC